GCATTTCTTTGGCTGAAAGAATGAGGGAGCAAACAGTGAACGATTTCTCCGCACAGTCCCCTCGCTTTCACTTATAATGTTGAGAGAGTCACACACACTGCGTGAGTGAGTGGTGAGTGAGTGAGAGAGAGAGAGAGAGAGAGGACATGTGGAATGTGACCTTCACACAGACTCCTTTCAGTGCACGAAAAGTTTCAATGAGCCACAGTCGCCGTGGAATCTCCTTCAGGTGAAATAGTGAACCATTCCCTCTGGTGGGTGTGCGATGGGGTGGGAGGAATCCAGAACAAGGGGAGGGGGTGGGGGTGTGGGGGACATCATCTTAAAATTAGAGCGATGCCCAATTAAGAGTGAAATCAGGAAGCATTTCTTTTGCACCCAAAGGGTTATTGGGAATCTGGAACTCTCTCCCTCCCCCAAAAGGCTGGATCCAGTCACATTTTCAAGACGGAGGTGGATAAATTTTTGTTAGGTCAGGGGATCGAAGGATGTGGGGCAAAGGTGAGTAATTGGAGTTTAGGTACATATCAGCCATATATCAAATGCAAGGATTATTATTATTGTTATTAATATTATTATGAAGGCACTGCTGCACTCTGTTTTCTCAGTCACAAAGCAAAAGGTGCCATTTTTCAAAAGGAATGCGATCGATCATATTTACCTGTCACACTAAATCCACTCCAGACACCTCGCTAGAGAATTGATCTACGATTTGACTTAATGAACAGAGATACATGGTGAGTGCCCTACAAATGGGTCTCCAGATCCCGCTGATATATGTCAGAATTGATGTTCTCTGTGTGTGATTCAGAACTTAGGAAACATGTAGGTTTGTGAAGAGCACTCTAACCTGTCTGCTCGTTCCTGGGTTTGAAATATTATTTCTCTCTATCTCTCTCTCTTTCTCATATACCCACCCAATTAAAATACCTTCACCCAACTAAAACATATCCAATTCTTTCATGAAATTGCCCAGATTCTTTTTGTCTAACCACTTCTCCAGGAAAACTTCCGTGCCCTCCGCATAAAATATTTTAACCTATTTGTTCATTTGCCCTCCCTTTTTTGACCATGGACCATGATGTCCTTATTGTGGACCCGTTGATCAGGCTGAATGAAGCAATTGGCATCTACTTTGTTTCTACCCTTAGAAGAGATGAATGCCAGCCTTGTCTTGCTGTCTCTCTGTCTCTCTTCCCAAATCTGGGGAGATCCACATCAGAATCCAAGTTACAAATGGACTAATAAACGAGATCCGGGTATTAATTGTACAACATTTGAAAATAGATTCAAAATGGTTGTTAGTCGATCGGCTGATCGCTATCCGGGGTAATAATCCTTCCAAAAGTAGTCGTAATTTGGTCAATCAATCCACGATTGTTTGTGGGACACTGCCCTGCGCAATTGGCTGCTACGTTTCACCTTCAAAATACACGGTAAATCCGCTTCACAGTGTATCCTGTGAAGCGCTTTGAGACGTCTCAACGATGTGATAAGGCACTGTATCAAATGGATTCTCAGGACCATTATTATGGTTTTAAACATTTGTTTTTTTAAAAGACATAAAACACATTTTTAAAAGCCCGTCCAACACACAAACCATTCAATATTGTGAAACGACTGCACTGTCCTTTCACATTTATACCTTGGGAGTCAGGTCAGGTTTCCCCACGGAACTCGCTGTTTGACGAAAATGAGAGATGTTATAAAAATATTGAGGAGTGGACAGATTTGTAAACAGAGGTCTCCAGAGGTTACCCGAGCATCCATGGCTTGTCATTAGCCAGAATAATCTTTAAGGTAAATGAGTGTTTGGAGGGGATGCAGTGCTTATCAGGTTCCAAAATCGGGATCTCGATGATACAGGTTAATGGTTCTCATTCCCCCACTGGCTGCCATCGCTACCAAAAGGAAAATACTGGAAAACACATGATTTTTTTTCTTTTGGTAACTGATATTTTTCCATCCAACATGTTGCCTTGTCAAGACGTAAATGACAGAGTGATTAACCGTTTCAGCTCTCATGTTTGCAGGGATATTTATCCACACATCACTTCACACAGGGGGTTTATCCTGAACCTCCCATTGGCCCTGTTAACACCCTGTCAATAATGGTGGTTGCTTTGGCCCACCAGGTTAGACCTAGTTCAAGGACAATCAAAGCAAATGTTCCACTGTATCTTTACACGCAGGCCATGTTTTGTCAATTAGACAAACCCCAGGGGGTTTCGGGACCAGGGGTTCATTTATAGCATTTAGTATTCTCACCTCTCAGTCAGAAAGCTGTGGTTTCAAGCCCTATGTCGGGACTTTAATCTCAGTCCTCCCCCTGGCACTCCAAATGTGGCTGGATTGAGCGAGCAAGATAATAATAATAATAATCCTTGCATTTAATATAATAATAAGAATCCTTGCATTTGACATAGAGCCTTATCACGTCGTTGAGACTTCACAGGAATATACTGTCAAGTGAATTGAGGGTATGTTTTGTGGGCGAAAAGCAAAAAGAAAAATTGCAAAAAAAACCGAAAGATGACATAGGTTTGTGAAGGCACTTTCAAAACAGACACCAGGGAATATTTATTTACCCGGAGGGTAATTGACGACTGGAGCAGGTTATCAGGAAGGGTGGTTGAGGCCAGGACACTGGACTTATTTTAAAAAAACAGCTCAATACTCTGATGGAAGGACTTGTAGGCAAGGGGTGTGTGTTGTGAGAGGATGAGATCAAATAGGTCGAAGAGCTTTCTTCACCTGAACCTCTTGTGATTTCGACGTCTCATCCGAAGGAAGTTACCTCCAACAATGTCGCAATCTACTCTGAAATGCCATCGGTTATATATTCAAATCCAAGATGGCCTTCAATCCCACAGGAGTGATTTGGGAGTGAGAACACTACCTGTGTATCAAACAGACACGCCTAAATTTCAGTTTAATTTATTAATTGTCTGTCCATTCAAGGCTCAGCCTCAGTAAATCTTCCTCAGTAACTTCCAACTCTATTGCAGAATTAGCGATGTTCCGTTCTACAGTGGATTGGGAGAGCCTGTTGGTATCACGACCCTTTCGTCCTCGCCACTGGAGAAGATCATGGAAGCAGTGGGAGGTAAAGCCCATTCCCAACTCTTCAATAGGTTGAAACAAAAGTTAAACAAGAGATGGAAGCGTTAAACATGGAAGCCAATCGTGGTGATACAACGGTACGTCATTCAACCGAGTGCCGGGAAATCATTCATCAATATTTGTCAACCTGATCTCTTGAATGGGTTTCTAGGATGTGACTGATAGCTTTTAAAGCTGTCAGGGAATCCATCACAGTCGCTACCCCTGGCACTACTTTATCAGGGTCTTATTGTCTGTGAGATGTATGTGAATCCAGTCAAACCCGCCACCGGGGAATTCTACATAAGATTGGTTTAATGGGATTAATATTGTTCCCTCCAAGGGATTCATATCCATTTAGACAGGGAGAACTGGAGCTGGTTTCTGGGAAACGACAGGGATCATTCACATCGGACGTGCAGCTGAGCAGTGTCAGTTAGGTCTGATCGGGTGCTAATGGGTAAGAAAGATTTCTTCCAACAGACTTTGTGGATTCCGAGTCTACATCGCGATGTGTCATTTATCGGCGGCTAATTTAATATCCACCTGGAAATGCTGGGAGCAAATTAAAAGGAGGAACGGACGAATATCTCGTTCTTCTTGGCATTTTATCTCGTGTTAGTTTTCACGTCTAATTCGCCCGCAAATATAGTTAATTCACTTTACAGTCTATTCTGTGAAGCGCTTTGAGACGTCGAGAAGACGTGAAAAGGCGCTGAATCAAACGCCAGGATTATTATTATTATCATCATTATTGTTGTTGGTTGCGTGAGGAATTGGAATGGGGGAAAAAAAAATAGGATTTCTTTAATCTTCTTGGGAGTAACATTCGGTGAGACTGCGTCCGAGGATGATGGCGGAGTCCTGTCTTTTCGAGCAGAACACAGGACATCTTTTATTTCCATTTATCCAAGTCCAGCAAATGCCCTTCTTTCCCCCCCCCCCCCCCCCCTCTTTGCCACGAACTTCTACTTTAAGGTGTAATAACATTGCTTTGCATTTCGGTTTGCGCTCATCACGACGGGGAGCCCTTCGCTGTGGCTCAGTGGTCAAGAGCCCTCGCCTCGCAAGCGAGAGGGAGGACCCGGGTTCGATTCCCGGGCAGGTCGGGTCGGGTCCGGTCGGGTCAGGGCGAAGCGTTGGGTAAGTTTCCTGACTCCACACGACTCTGGTCAGTGAGACCCGGGTGTCAGTCGGTTGGCGGATCGCTTTCCGGGGGGGGGGGGGGAATAATCCCTTCCTTTATTAAGGAAAAATGTGGTCACTTCAACCCACGGAGGTCGCTCGGCGCAGTCGGCTGCCGCGTTTCGCCCACAAAGTACGCGCACAGTCACTACGCTTGACAGTAAATCCTGTGAAGTGCTTTGAGACGCCTCCTCAACACCGTACAGATCCTCAACACTGTTCTCAAGTCCCCGCTTCATACCCGGTCCCCAGACCCCAATCCTCCCCCCGCACAGCCCCTCCCACACAGCCCCCCCCTCCCCTCCAGCCCCCCCCCCACACAGCCCCCCCTCCCCCCCACACAGCCCCCTCCCCTCCAGCCCCCCCCCCCCCCTACACAGCCCCCCTCCCCTCCAGCCCCCCCCCCCCCCCACACAGCCCCCCTCCCCTCCAGCCCCCCCTCCCCCCCCACACAGCCCCCCCCTCCCCCCCACACAGCCCCCCTCCCCTCCAGCCCCCCCTCCCCCCCCACACAGCCCCCCCCTCCCCCCCACACAGCCCCCCCTCCCCCCCCCCCCCTCCAGCCCCCCCTCCCCCCACACAGCCCCCCCTCCCCTCCAGCCCCCCCCCCCCCCCACACAGCCCCCCCCTCCCCTCCCGCCCCCCACACACAGTCCTCTCTCTCTGCGTCACTCTCTCCCTCTCGCTCGGCGCCGGATTATGTCGTCATTTCCGGATCCGGCCGCGCCGCTGCTTGGACAGAGAGAGGAGAGATGGCCTCGGGCTGTGAGGTCTGTGTCTGTGTCAGTGTGTGTGTGTGTCAGTGTGTGTGTGTGTCAGTGTGTGTGTGGGTCAGTGTGTGTGTGTGTGTCAGTGTGTGTGTGTGTCAGTGTGTGTGGGGTCAGTGTGTGTGTGTGTCAGTGTGTGTGTGGGGGTCAGTGTGTGTGTGGGGTCAGTGTGTGTGTGGGTCAGTGTGTGTGTCAGTGTGTGTGTGTGTGTCAGTGTGTGTGTGTGTGTCAGTGTGTGTGGGGGTCAGTGTGTGTGTGTGTCAGTGTGTGTGTGGGGGTCAGTGTGTGTGTGGGGGTCAGTGTGTGTGTGGGTCAGTGTGTGTGTGTGGGTCAGTGTGTGTGTGTGTGTCAGTGTGTGTGTGGGTCAGTGTGTGTGTGGGTCAGTGTGTGTGTGGGTCAGTGTGTGTGTGGGTCAGTGTGTGTGTGGGTCAGTGTGTGTGTGTGTGTCAGTGTGTGTGGGGGTCAGTGTGTGTGGGTCAGTGTGTGTGGGATCAGTGTGTGTGTGTGGGTCAGTGTGTGTGTGTGTGTCAGTGTGTGTGGGTCAGTGTGTGTGTGGGTCAGTGTGTGTGTGGGTCAGTGTGTGTGTGTGTCAGTGTGTGTGTGGGTCAGTGTGTGTGTCAGTGTGTGTGTGGGTCAGTGTGTGTGTGTGTCAGTGTGTGTGTGGGTCAGTGTGTGTGTGGGTCAGTGTGTGTGTGAGTGTGTGTGGTCAGTGTGTGTGTGTCAGTGTGTGTGTGTGTGTGTGTCAGTGTGTGTGTGTGTGTGTCAGTGTGTGTGTGTGTGTGTGTGTGTCAGTGTGTGTGTGTCAGTGTCAGTGTGTGTGTGTCATTGTGTGTGTGTCAGTGTGTGTGTGTCAGTGTGTGTGTGTGTCAGTGTGTGTGTGTCAGTGTGTGTGTGTCAGTGTGTGTGTGTCAGTGTGTGTGTCAGTGTGTGTGTCAGTGTGTGTGTGTCAGTGTGTGTGTCAGTGTGTGTGTGTCAGTGTGTGTGTGTCAGTGTGTGTGTGTCAGTGTGTGTGTGTCAGTGTGTGTGTGTCAGTGTGTGTGTCAGTGTGTGTGTCAGTGTGTGTGTGTCAGTGTCAGTGTGTGTGTGTCAGTCTGTGTGTGTGTCAGTGTGTGTGTGTCAGTGTGTCGGCCCCGACACTTCATCATCATTATCAACAATCAATAATAATAATAATTGATTGTAATAATTTTTCTAAAATCCTTAACCTGTTTATCTGGAGCTTCAGTGTTGTCGAGACAGCCAGAAACTTATAATAATAATAATAATAATAATTCTGGCACTTGACACGGCGCCTCATCACATCTTCGAGACGCCTCAAAGCGCTTCCCAGGATACGCTGTCGGGTGTCAGTGACTGTGTTTTCTGTGGGCGACACGCGGTGCTGGGGGTGTGGGGTGGGGGTACAGTCTTGTCAGAAGTGTTGCGTCATTTTGACTTGGGACGCCCTCCCGAAGTGAAAGGGGCCAAATGCAAACGTAATTCGTTGTTGGTGATTGTACCGTTCCTTTCCTCAAATGAAAATGCACCTCGTCTGTTACGCCTTTTTTTTTAACGTAAAATCCCTGACTGTCCGGCGCCTCGGGACGTCCTCCCGGCGGGAAAGGCGCTCTGCAAATGTAACGTCGTATTGTGTTGCACCTCGAGCTGCTTCGGCTACTTTGTTTTGCAGTTTTAATTTTGGGAACCCTCAAAACCTAAAGGTTTCACGTTTTCCGTTTGACTCGCGCACAGGATGATGTTCCTCGCAGCAGTGGAGTCGGCGTCATCTCGACGTCCTCCTCAGCCGAACTAGCAGCCCAAAAACGTGAGGAACGCCTGAAGAAGTTCCGTGATCTCCACCTTAAACGGGTGAGAACTTTGAAGCGATGCCTCGACGACGTGATAAGGCGCTGTATCAAATGCAAGGATTATTATTACTGTTTCAGTGGGTTTGGGAATAATAATAATCTACTTTTGGGGGCATTTTGAGTTAGACTGTAAACATGTAAGTGTTTCCGGAAATACTCAGATATTGCAAACTAAGCACTTGTTTCTCTGAGCGCTTCATGTGGTACCGCAGTTGGTAAGATAGGTTTTGATCCCCGTTCTCAGGGTGAAGCTCGGAAGCTGAATCACCAAGCGGTGGCAGAGGAGGACAAGTTGCTGAAACTGCCCGCTAACTGGGAGGCCAAAAAAGCCCGGTTAGAGTGGGAGCTGAAGGAAGAGGAGAAGAAAAACGTTTGTGTTACTTATTTGTATTCAATAATTTACCTGCCGTGAAGCTCCAAAGCTATTTCAATGCAGCGCGCTCAAGTTTAGTCAACTTAACAAGAGGAAAATGACCCTCTGTCCCGTCTTGTGTTTTCTGATTGGCCGGCAGGAATGTCTGGCAAAGGGAGAGGACTATGAACGGGTCAAGTTGCTGGATGTGGGGGCTGAGGATGCCGAGAGGTGGGAACGAAAGAAAAAGAAGAAAAATGCAGATCCCGGATTTTCAGGTAGCTCCCTGTTCTGGATACACCTACAAACACACAGTCACTACACTTTACAATCAAGCTTGTGAAGGGCCCTAAGACACCCTATATTAAATCAAGGATGATTGTTAAACACTTAATATTTTGTTCATTGATTGTTGACCTTCTCCCCTCCCCACCTACCCCTTTGCCTGGGCTCCTTAGTCATAGTGCTATGTCTTTGAGATGGAAGTTTAATCAGTTCACCAGCTCCCCCCCCCCACTCCAGCTCAAGCTCCCCCTCAGTCACTAGAAAACACTTTGAGACGTTCTCCCGACATGAAAAGAATAATACAAGTGTAAATATGTGGCCGCAGCGACAGATGCTGGTCAGTACATTTAGCATCTGAGGAAAGAGTTTGGCTTCGTCCTCGGAACGTTTTGCCTGAGTGAACGGTGATGTGTTTGTTCCAGATTTTGCAGCCGCTCAGTTCCGCCAGTACCAGAGGCTGGTTAAGCAGATTAAACCAGACATGGAGAATTACGAGCAGCAGAAGGAAGATGTGTGAGTTCTTTATTAAGACGGAAACTTTCACCGTTAACCTCTTCTTAGAAAAGGGAGGACATTCAGAGGTGCCAGGGGAGGGGGAAGTGGGGGAGAGAAAGACCAGAGGGTAACATACAAACTAAAATAAAGGATTAACATTGCAGCCATTAAACCCCACGTGGGTTTATTTTTGGAGCACTGTGGTACTAGTAACTTGAGTTTAAAATGAGTTTAAGATACACTAGAGTGGGAAGATAAGCTAAGTGCACCGATAAACAGAATTTGTGTGTGTGTTCATAAAAGAGACAGAATCTGCACTTGACTTCAGCACAATGTGCACAGATACCACCCATTCAGTTACATACAATGAAATGTGAGTTTTTGGCTGAATGGCTGAATGTCAGCGTTTGAAATCTCTATGCTGGGAAAAGCTAGTGATTTTTGTTAAAGATTTGGAGTGCTTGTATGTCGTTTGGTTCAGTTCGTTGGGGAATGTTGTTTCGACCGCCTGTATGCTTTCCAAACCAAGTTGCTTCCCGTCAAGTTATTGACATGAGATTGTTTTGAAGCGGTTGGTGATACGAAACGGGAAGTTACCGCACGGAAACAAGCCATTCGGCCCCACTGGGTCCTTGCCGGTGAAAGTTCCCTTCCGTCGAGTATAAACTGGGTTTGTTTTTTGCATTTCCGTTGCAGAGGAGAAGAGTTCTACCCGACCTCAAACAGTTTACTGCACGGCAGCCATGTTCCCTCCAAAGCAGGAGTGGACAGGGTGGTCGCAGATGTTGAGAGACAGTGAGTGTTTTTTTGCTTGTTTATTTTTTGCTGCTGCGTTACCTTGACTATACGTTTGCCTTCAAGCGCTCCTGAGATTCTATCCCGCTTGCAGGGCGCTGTATAAACGCAAGCTATCGTTTGTTACGTACACCTGCCGTCGCGTGTGAAGTGAAACCTGTGCCTTGCAGCGCCTCGCGGGATATTTAAGGCTCTTAAACAAACTCGCCACTGAACTGTTCAGCTAAAACACCTTGCGTTTACCATATGCAGTGCCCTTCAAGTGGGGCAGCAGCTTACGGCGCTGTTTAATTTATTTAACACACATACTATGCAGAGAGTGACGCTGTCTGCTATTTTAATACAATTGTTTTGGACCCAAGTATTCGGGCAATGACCCTGTGAACCCTTGTTGGTGTTGTTTCGATCAGCAGATAAATTGGGTAATTGGAGTTGAGGTGCAGATCAGCCATGATCTTATTGGAGAATGGCGGAACGGGCTTGAGGGCCTGAATGGCCTCCTCCTGCTTCTGCGGTTCCGATTCCGCCAGCAAATGATTTTTTGGTTTGTTTGTTTCCAGGATTGAGAAGCGCGCCAAGTACAGCAGGCGTCGCCGCTACAACGACGACGCTGACATCGACTACATCAACGAGAGGAACGCAAACTTCAACAAAAAAGCGGAACGATTCTATGGCAAATACACTGCGGAGATCAAACAGAATTTGGAGAGAGGAACAGCGGTCTAACCCGTGCTCTTCATATAATAATGATAAATAATGATAATAGTAACAACAGGCTTGTAGACCGTGAACGAGTGTGGCTGCTGTTTCTCCCAATGGTCTCGCCGTTGCATTTCTGAAACAGACACAGGATAAAATGAACTCTTTCAGAAGTATAACAACAATAATAATCCTTCCCTTTGATATAGCGCCTTATCGTGTCTTCTTAAATATCATACGCTGCTCTCTCTCCAGTGTGAAACTCCGCTACATCAATCTGCAATCTCTGGCACACTGATTCTTTTCTAACAAACAGAAACATTACGCTGCATTTTGCTAGGACACGCTTTTCAGATAACTCCAAAACCAGATGAAGATCTTTTGCGTTTCATATTGTCTTCATCTGGATTTTATAAAGTGTGGAGCCTTTCTCTGACCGTGTGTGGGAGAGTGCCTGACATTTTGGGATTCATATGACCTTATTCTTCATTTATGGGGAACATTTGTATTGTATGGTGTCCAAAGACTTGATGGTTAATATTTTGGAAGTCCTTTTATTTTTTTTAATGTAATGGTAGGTTTGAGGACCATTGATTTGAATCCTTTCGCAGTGACTATGTAAACAGCTACTTTCAATAGACACAGAATTGTTTTCTTTTGGTATCGCATATTGTCTATCCGATTGCATTGGTTTTTGAGGGTCTTCAGCTGGAAATAATCTAAATTGTATTCAATTAAATTGATGTCAGCCACAAAGGGGGAGCTATTTGGCTGTTTAGCTTTGTTCTTTGTAAGCTAAAATATTTCTTATGCAGTTGTGTATATAAAATAAACCTCATTTTGAAATGTCACCTACTTACTGAGTGTTCGTTTTGCAGTTCGCATCGGAACGGTGGAATTGTTTTAAATGACCTTTTATATTCTGAAATCCTGCTTGGCTTTTTGGCAGCAAATACGTACCTTACATTAACAGTAAATTATCTCTCTCTCTTCAGGAAGAATTCAACAAATTATCATCTTTTACAGAAAATACAACTTTTAACTTATGAAGGCAGTAGGTTCTTGAAATAACCGATCATCTGCTCAAAAGAAAACCGTGCAACTGGTTAAGGTGGTTGTGGAGTCCTGTAGCTCAGTGGTTAGGGCACTCGCCTCCCAAGCGAGAGGACCTGGGTTCCATTCCCGGGCAGGGCGAAACCTTAGTTTCCTTACTCCATGTCCCTGTTTACCAGCAGTGAGTAGGAACCCGGTTGTTAGTCGATTGGCGGATCACTTTCCATGGGAAATATTTCCTTAAAAAATAAATCAGTCAAATAAAGAGATCAAGTCGGGGCTTAGTTGGTTGTCAGTTGAGCAACTTGTGATGTATGCCAATGAGGGATAGGGTGTTAGTAACATAAGCAGTTTCCTAGCTGGACTGACCAGCTATCCCACCGCACACTTTATGATCTTGCAATGCTCAGTTTCTGTGAGTCTCACTGGAGGCTGAAGCGAGGGGCAATGCTTCAGGTAGACATCAGGTGCTCCAGATCCAGTGGCAAACACAACATCTGCTTCAGCGAGTTCTCAGAAGCTGAAACTTCAGACTTGAGCATAACAAGCAGTTTCCACACTTGTGTCAAACTTCTGGCTGATCTACATTTTTTTTAAAAAAGAAGTTAATATTCTCAGGTGTTTGATGAACAGCATTGACTTCAGGCAAGCTGTGTGCATCGGGGTCTTAGCTGCTTTAATGAGTTTGATGGAAACCCAGACGTTGTCTGCAACAGGAAATCATTCCGGGACAGGGCGAAACCTTAGGTAAGTTTCCTTACTCCACACGCCGCTGTTTACCTAGCAGTCGGTAGGAACCCGGTTGTTAGTCGATTGGTGGGTCGCTTTTCCGGGAGTTTTATAATCCTTTTTTAAAAAATTAGGTCACTCAATCCACGGCTGTTTGTGGGACGCTGCTGCGCGCAGTTGGCTGCCGTGTTTCGTCCACAAAACACTCAGTGGATCCACTTTACAGTATGTTCTGTGAGACGTGCCATCTACGTGATAAGGCGCTCTATCCAATGCAAGGATTATCATTAATATTGTTATTATTATTCCGAATGAGCTGAAATCCATGGATTTCACAACTGGACAAAAAAAAAACTGCACTTTTAGCAACGGGTGAGGTCGTGTTTGATGTTGGAATTGGCTTTTGCACAGGAATCTGTCAGGGTTGGATTTTATGTCTTGATTGTTTATCAATAGCGATTCAATCCTTTGAACAAGTCCCATCCTGATCCCATCAACAGGTGTGTGCTGCCAAACACTGTGATTCCACCAAAATATTAAAACGCACGTAATTGCAAATGCATATTTCACCACCTTGGGATTGAATAGTTTTGCTTCAATATGTGAGTCCAAAAAATTGCAGCGAGGAGCAAGAACAGTCCCACTCATTAAAAACCCTTCTTAATATAAAAAATATTGTTTCATCACGGAATTCGGCCAAACCCACATTCACGTTTCAGAAGTCAAATACTTTTGCCGCAAGTTCAACCGAATCAACTGCTCTGGAAAGTAATAAAAAAAAAGAATCGCATGGGATTTAAATAGTACAAACTGAAAGCCCCTTTTAATGTGCTGTGAGGTCGAATGGGCGATTTATTTCCTTTTCGGTCACAGCCGGGCAGGTGTCCGACACACGCGGAAACCCGTCGCCGTTGCTTAAGAGTCTCCAAACCCAACTGAGAATTCCAGGCCTCCCGTCTCCACACGGAAATCCCAGAGAGAGATTGTTGTGATGGAATGCTCTCTCGCTCTCTCTCCCTCCCTGGAGGGATGCAGCCTGCTTACCTAATTCCGGAGAGCTTTAGGCGCAAACCTGCGCTGAAGCAGTTTCGATAGAAATATACCAAAAATGACTACAAATACAGTACGTTTGAGTCGTGTTTGCGGGACTCTGTACGTTGTGTGTCATATTGCTGCCATCTGGTGTCAAAAAACTTTCAAACCTACTCCATGTCAATAAGACTTGGATTAACTGAACAGCCAATTTACAGTGAGAAATGGATTTTGAGTTGAGATTCTGCAGCTTTAATCCTTGGCTTTTCCGTTCCTTCCTCCATGGCCTCACTCTGCCCCGTGTGTACCATCCTTCGCAACTCAACTTTGCTCAATCCCTCTGCTCTGCCAAATCTGTCTTTCTGCATCACCTCAACTGCAATTCCATTGCGGCAGTGATAATAATTGCATTGCTGGAATAATAATAATCATAATTGCGTTTCAGTAACGATAATAATAATCGTATTGCAGTAATAATAACAAGAGTAGTATTGCAGTAACAATAATAATAATTGTATTGCATTGAGGTAATGATAATATAAATTGCATTTCAGCAATAATAATAATAGGATTGCAGTAACAATAATAATAACAATAACAAAATAATAATAGGATGGCAGTAACAATAATAATAATAACAATAATAACAAAATAATAATAGGATGGCAGTAACAATAACAATAATAACAATAATAACAATAATAATAGCAATAATAACAAAATAATAATAACAATAATAATAACAATAATAACAACAATAATAGGATTGCAGTAACAATAACAACAATAATAATAATAACACTAATAATAACAATAATAGTAATAACAATAATAATAACAATAATAATAACAATTACAATAGTAATAATAACAACTACAATAATAGTAATAACAACAATAATAGTAATAATAATAATAACAATAATAATAACAACAATAATAGTAATAATAATAATAACAATAATAATAACAACAATAATAGTAATAATACTAACAACAATAATAGTATATAGCAGTGCTGCAGTCCCCCCCCCCCCCCCGCCTGGTGCAGCGCCCTCTGGTGTCGGAGCCGCGGACCCACAGCCCCTGAGCAGTGAGTGGCGGCCGGAGCGGCCGTGTGGGGCTGTGTGAGGGGGAGTGTGAGGGGGTGTGTGAGGGGCTGTGTGAGGGTGTGTGTCCCTGGGGGTCCCTGTCAGCCTGTCGGAGGCTGATCTCGATGCAGTACATTCCTCCTGACGTCATGTTCAGCCACAGGGCCGCGCAGCCCCTCCCCCCGCACTTCGGCTTCGTCATCCTGGTCTTCATCTACAGCTGGGCCATGCTGGCCTACCTGGGCATCAGGGTGGGCATGGCCCGCAGGCGGTACCACGTCAAGGTGGGCCCCGCGCACCCTCACACCCCCCCACACACACACACACACCCTCACACACAGGGTCACACCCCCCCACACACCCTCACACACACACCCAGACACTCACACACACCCTCACACACACACCCAGACACTCACACACACCCTCACACCACACACACACACACACCCTCACACAGACATCAGGGTGGGCATGGCCAGGAGACGGTACCACGTCAAGGTGGGCCCCGCGCTCACACACACCCCCTCACACAGACACACCCTCACACACACACACACACACACACCCCCTCACACACACACACACCCTCACACACACCCACACACAGGCATCAGGGTGGGCATGGCCCGCAGGCGGTACCACGTCAAGGTGGGCCCCGCGCTCACACCCTCCCCCACACACACACCCTCACACACACACACACACACACACCCCTCACACACACCCTCACACACCCTCACACACACCCTCACACACACACACACCCTCACACACACACCCTCACACACACACCCTCACACACACAGGCATCAGGGTGGGCATGGCCCGGAGACGGTACCACGTCAAGGTGGGCCCCGCGCTCACACACACCCTCACCCTCACACACACCCTCACACACACACCCCCAGACACTCACACACAGGGTCACACCCCCACACACACACACCCTCACACCCACACACACACACCCCCACACACCCACACACCCTCACACACACCCTCACACACACACACAGGCATCAGGGTGGGCATGGCCAGGAGACGGTACCACGTCAAGGTGGGCCCCGCGCTCACACCCCCACACCCCCTCACACACACACACCCTCACACACCCCCACACACACCCACACCACCCCCCCCACACCCCACACACAGGGTCACACCCCCACACACACACCCTCACACACACCCACACCCAGGCATCAGGGTGGGCATGGCCCGCAGGCGGTACCACGTCAAGGTGGGCCCCGCGCACACCCCCACACACACCCTCACACACACACACACAGGGTCACACCCTCTCACACACACACACAGGGTCACACCCTCACACACCCTCACACACACACACACAGGGTCACACCCTCTCACACACACACACAGGGTCACACCCTCACACACCCTCACACACACACACAGGGTCACACCCTCACACACCCTCACACACCCCCTCACACACACACCCTCACACACACACAGACATCAGGGTGGGCATGGCCAGGAGACGGTACCACGTCAAGGTGGGTCACACACACTCACACAGACAGAGAGACACACAGAGAGACAGAGACATACAAAGAGAGACAGAGAAAGGACAAGCTTTCGTGTTATACTTATTTATTTATTTATTTATTATTGCTTGACCCAGATCCCTTCCCCCCCCCCACACCCATTCTCCCCTCTCCTCCCCTCCCTCTCCCCCCCCCCCCTCTCCCTCTCCCCTGCCTGTCTCTCTCTGTCCAAACCCCAGGGCCTGAACGTAAAGCCCTTAAGGTTCTTTCGAGGGTAAGCGTTTGGTCGTGGAAAGAAGTCCAAAGTCCGTCCGGTTCACCTCGCACCGTCCTGGCCGTCGCACGCTCTGCCCCGAACTTATGTACTGTATTCTCGCCCGAGATCTTATTAATTCCTAACGGAAATCTTATCTCGTTTGTTCTCGAAAGAGGCGACACTTTCTATTTCCAGACCCACCCACCGTCTGTCTGTCTGTCTCCCTCCCTCCCTCCCTCGGGACCCTGGTTTCTAAACAGAGAAAGACCATTTGGCCTCTTTTTTTTTAATATCAAAAAAAATAAAGTAAGAACTTAAAAGATTGCGCAGAGAGAGTTTGGGCAAAAAATAAATAAATACTTTGCTTCCGAAACATCTCTACAGTTTCTTAAACAATAAACCGGACGCGGTTTTAACCAATTTTTTCCCACAGTTGAATGCGAACTGTTTTTTTTTAAATGTTTTTTTTTTTTGGAAGATGAAAGCGAGACCGGGTGGAATTTCAGGGACTCCGTTCCGATGGTTCTCTGCGTTTCGTTTTAGCGTTTTATTTTATTTTTTTTACACACCAAGTCTCAAACGAAACAAGTGAAGAGTTCTCACGTGATGAGGAAATTGTCGTGGACGAGTTCTCTCTTCGTCCCCGGCTCCTGGTACTGTGAACCCTTGCGGATGTGCGCAATCCTGCAGCTCAGTGGTTAGAGCCCTCGCCTCGCAAGCGAGAGGACCCGGGTTCGATTCCCGGGCAAGGCGAAGACTTAGGCAAGTTTGGCGACTCCACGCGCCTCCGTTTACAACAACTTGCACTTACATAGCGCCCTCCACGCAGGGTAGCTTCTCAGAGCGCTTAACAGTGGCGGAGTCTGACTCCGAGCCGGTGGGAGGTGGGTGGGGAGGTGACCGGAAGCGCGGTCGAAAGGGAAGGCTTTCAGGCGGGACTTGAAAAAGGGGAGCGAGGGGGGCAAGGCGGAGAAGGTTCCAGAGTTTCGGGGCGTAGTGGCTGAATGTGCGTATTTTACTTAGCAGTAAGTAGGAACATGCTTGTTAGTCGATTTAGAAAAAAATAAGCAGAATTTGGTTAAAAAAAATAAAGAATTTGGTCACTCAATCCACCACTGTTTGTGGGGCCGCTGCTGTGCGCAATTGGCTGCCGCGTATTTCGCCCACAAAATATAAGTTCAATTCGCTTTACAGTATATTCTGCAAAGCACTTTGACACGTCTCAAGGATGTGATAAGGCGCTGTATCAAATGCTAGGATTATTATTATTAATGACCAATTATTATTATTTTAAGGGATTATTACCCCAAGAAAAGCGATCCCCCAATTGACTAACAACAGGGCTCCTACTTACTGCGAGGTAAACAAAGGTGTGTGGAGTAAGGAAACTTGCCCAACGTTTCACCCTGTCCGGGGAATCAAACCCAGGTCCCCTCGCTTGCGAGGCGAGTGCTCTTAACCACTGAGCTACAGAACTCCAGTATTAACTTTGTAATATTGTTTTCTCATCAGTATCCCAACATGTACAGTGACAAAGAGCCAATATTCAACTGCATTCAGCGAGCACATCAAAACACTCTGGAGTTGTACCCTCAGTGGCTGATCTTCCAGCTAATAGCTGGAGCCGTCTATCCGGTAAGGAGAGGGGAGGGGGAAGCGCTCTGTGACCAGGGGCAATACGGTCGATAAACCCAACAGAAGGCAGTTTCACTTATAGCATCAATGTGGTGTGGATCTTGATCCCTAACCCTAACCCCCCAAAAATGCCAAATACATGCAGAAAACTCACCATAATCATGATTAGGCAATTGTCCACCTACAATGTGATCGTGCAAAAAGAGCAATAATTGTGTGTTGGGGTGGCGGGTCATATAAAAAAGGGAGGGTGGGTGTAGGAGGGTGACCGAAGGCGCAGTCAAAGAGGAGGGTCTTGAGACGGGTCTTGAAGGAGAGGGCGAGGAGAAGGGACTGTGGGTTGGAGTTCCAAAGGGTCGGGTAGAACGGTTGAGGGCCTGACCGCCGATGGTGGGCTGGGCCGGGCGGTGGGGTGGGGGGATGCAGAGTAGTCCGGAGCCCGCTGAGCAGGGAAGTCGGTATGGACACAGAGGTAGGGAGGAGTCAGGCCTTGGAGAGCCTCCCAGTTATTTTTGTAAATGTATTAAAACTGCAGAAACACAGCAATATTGAGGCTCAGACTATTCTACCGTAGAGGGCAATCCTGGCCTTTTGGTTTCCACACAACTGCACTTCCCACTCAGGGTGTCTGCGATCGATCAGGAGGAGGTTGTCTTTTTAGGTTTTTGAGAAACAGCAAAATGTTCAAACCATAACCCCGACTGTACCGATTACTTTGCAGATCACGGCTTCCGTGCTTGGTCTTATTTGGGTCACCAGCCGATTTTCTTATGCCTGGGGATATTACACCGGTGGTACGTTTCATTTTGTTATTTCTTACGAGCAATTGCGATGTTTTCTGTTTTTTTTCTTCTTCTGTGAAAAGACCGACGTGATAAAGCGAGTCTGCGAAACGCAGCGAGTGCAGAATGCTCCCGATAATATTGAGTACTTGGGGGGGTGGGGAGTGTGTTCTTCGGTCATAGCTGACTTCAAAGTAAAAACCTCTCCAAATGTTAAATGCCAACGTACAGCGCTGACGATGCACTTGAAAGGACTTTTCCCACAAGTGCCCTTTCGATGTGTTTATTCTCTGTGGGCTGTGACATGAGCCATCGATGTCTTTGCTGGAAACACTTTAGAACAGGGTGGGGCGGGGGCCAACCTTTTGGCTGCCGAGGGCCGGATGCCCTATTTGAGAGACTTCTGTGGGCTGCATAAGCAATATTTTTGTGTTTCCCTTCCAGAAACGTAACATGACATTTACGGGTTATGGAGGGAGCGGGTGGGCCAGATGAAATGGGGGGGAGGGAGGGGATGAAATCGGGCCCCCAGGTCGCCAGTTATTTACATGCATTTCATGTCTGCTGGAGGGCTCCCTGCTTTTCGTCACCTGTGTTGTCCGTGTAGGGTAAGAAGCTGCGTTTGATTTGCAAAGACACATTCTGAAGCTTTTTCTGGGTTACCTTTGAGAATCCAGTGGTTAATTCCTGCGGATCTTGGGTGGCTGAACCCTTAACTCTTTACAGTGGGTGTTCCGTGGTCTGCCAAGGAATGGGTTTGGAGCAGCTAATGGTTATTTATCTTCCATGTATTCTGAGTTCAAGGGGACTCACAATGCTCTGGGTTTGAATACTTATCTGCAACATCGAGCAAGACCGATATACTCATTTTATCAATGATATACCCTCTAAATCGCTTTATACGGGGGTAATAATCCCCCCCAAAATAACTTTTCAAATGAAAACTTGGTCACTCAATCCACGACTGTTTGTGGGACGCTGCTGTGCACAATTATCTGCCGCGTTTTGCCCACAAAATAGTCAATTCATTTTACAATATATCCTGTGAAGCGCTTTGAGTCGCCTCGAAGGCGAGATAAGGCGCTATATCAGATGCGAGGATTATTATTATTATTCGAGTGTTATTCAATCTTTGTGCTTTCTTCTCAGAACCAGCAAAAAGAATGAATGGTTCCTATGGATACATTGGTCTTCTGGGAGTCATTGTGCTGTCTCTTGTGATTGCTTTCCAGAGTATTGGTTTGATCGCTTGAACATAAAACGATGACACTTAGCAACACTGTGGTGGGGAAATAATTTGATGATCAACTGGTCACTGAGCTGTAGCAGTATTCTGGTGTCATTTATATTTATATCTATTTTGAAATTGAAATAGTTACCATTTTGAGGCACTTGCTGTCATGTTTCGTGGCCAGTTGACATTTTAAAAGCTGACAATTTTGCCCACTGGGTTGAGCGCTGAATTTTGATTGGGTTTGAGTGACACGTACTGTGTTTTGCACTATCATCGTATAAAAAATGATTGGCTGCAAAATATAAAACCTTTCATTTTACCTACAGAATAAAATAAATAAGACCAAACACGAATGTAATTACCAGAACAGTAGTTTCCAATGAAAATGTTAAATTCCAAAAATCTGATTTAGCTTAATTACTTGCTCCAGTTTTACTGTGTCATTTGTATGATTTGATAACTGAATGAATGAATCCGAAGCCATTATGAACTTTTTCCTCCGTTACTAATGCTTTCACTGCTCAGGAAAATTGCTCGTTTCAATTTGCTTTTTAACTTTACCATTACCACAACTCGTTTACTATAATGTTTTGAAATCCATTCCACTTAAAAGGACTAATTAGTATAGATTGACTTGATTCAGTTGTGTATTAAATGATGAAATGGTTTGAAAATTTGCATCTGGTTTAGTTTTCTGTAGAAATCCTAATCTAATACCATTACTTGTTCAGATGTGAAAACTCAGCAGACTTTTGCTTCATCTCAATATAAAATGTTTCCCATAGGCTTGAGCTATTTTAGCCGAGCGATCCTCAAAAGGGCTGTGATATCATAGCAGTGATATGTACCGGCTACTAGTAATCCCAAATACATTCAATTTCACCCATCAATACCAAAGTCTCAGCTTGTGTACATCTCAAGAGACGGAATACAAAGTGTATCCAAAGTATGAAGAAATTTATTGTATTTTTTTTTAAAAATAACGAAACTGATTATTTCTAACTACTCGATAGTCAGTTACAAAAAAAAAACAGATCGACGCGTACGCTAAAAGTCACGCCTCTTAGCCGATAGGTTTTAGATGTCCTTCCACTGTTTTTTTTCCACTTGAATCAGGCGACCACCACAGGGCAAAAGAAAAGAACTCCAAAACAGCATTTATCTAATAATCGTAACTGCACAAAAGGCACAGTCAGCCATCCACAGCAGTGACCTTGGGTCGTAGGTGATATTTTGCGGCTTGCTCGCCAAATAACGTCGACCGAATGTCCCCCCCCCCTCCCCCCTTCCACACGCTTCACCCGGACACAAAAAGATCGGAATCAAATGAAAACGTTTCCACGGAAAATCTGCCGCCACGAACAATGACACAATTCAGGACGTGGAGAATCGAGTCGTGCTGAACGCAGCCGGTTCGGAGTATCTCAGCGGCCGGAGCTCGCCCGAGCTTGTCCTTGGGGAGGAGGGGCGGTGGGGAGCGAGAGAGCCGACCTCCTACGGCCACGCCTGGCGGCGGCGGCGGCGGCGATGACGAGCCGATCCCGAGGAATGATAAACGACGACGACGGCGATAATAATCCTCGCGTTCGACACGGCGGCTCATCACACACCGTCGAGACGTCCCACAAAGCGCTTTCACGGGTTACGCCGTCAAGTGGAGTGACTGTGTATTTGTTTAAGGTGGTGGGGTGGGGAGTGGGGGGTGGGGTGGTGGGGGTGAGGGGGGAAGAAGGGGAATGTAACGATGTGTAAAACGATACGCGCTGTTTTGTAGAGCAGTTTAAAAGTTTCCTTTGCTGTTGAGATGGCGTGGAGTTGACCCCCTCCTCCTCCTCCTATCTGACAGGCCGCCCCAGGCCGGGTCTGGTCGGCACCACCATCTGCCTGTGGGGCCCCATCATGGGGCCGGGCATCATCGGCATCGGGCCACCGACGGGCGGCCGCATGCCGTGCCCCACCAGCATCATGCCGGGGGGCGCGGGGCCCATCATGGGCATCATGGGCGGCCCTCCCATGGGCGGGCCGGGCAGGATAGCCGGGCGGGGCGGCGGCAGGTTGCCCGGGGGCGGCGGGATGACGGCCCCGGCGGGCGGGGGGCCGGAGGGGGCCGGGAACGGCGCGGTGGGCGGGATCTTGCCCTGGCGGAAGGCCGCCGTGGTCTTGTCGATCAGGCTCTGGGCCTGCTCCTCCATCCACTTCTGGTAGTAGTCCTTCACGTTCTCCTTGTGCTTGCGGCCCTCGCAGTGCGTCTTGCGGACGGACGGGGAGTCGTGCGTGAGGTAAGTGTCGCAGTAATCGCAGTAGTACTTCGGCATCTTCGGCGGCGGCTTTCTCTCCTCCTCCTCCGGGCGGGTTGGCGGCTCTGCGCACGCGCACTTCGAGAGAGCGGCGGTTTCTCCCCCCCCTCTCACGTGATCTTCCGGTCTGGCTTCACGCACACACACACACACGCCGCCCCCAACTCCATCGTCACGTGATCTTCCGGTCTGGCTTCACGCACACACACACACACACACCCCGCCGCCCCCAACGCCATCGTCACGTCATGTCCGTTGCCAGCCCCGCCTACCCACGGTCACGTGATTCTATCTGCCGCCCACCCCCTCCCCCGGGAGTCAGGTGACATTCGGCTTTAAACCACGTGCGTGTGTGTCCGTCCGTCTCCCCCCCCCCCGGATGACGTGACGCTGCTCGCGGGGTCAGCACGTGATCCCCTGGCGCTGACGCATGCGTAGTCGCCTTCCGCGAGAGAGACGCACACATACACACACACACACACAGAGCGAAAGAGAGGGACAGAGAACCGGCTGTTGTGTCTGAGGCGCCATCCGACGACGGAAGCAGGTAACGCGGAGCCGGGGCTGGCGGCTCAACCCTCGGGTGTGAGGGGTTTTTCCTGAGGGGAGGGCGGGAGTGAGAGTGTGGGAGGGAGGGAGGGAGAGTGTGGGAGGGAGGGAGGGGTGATTGGGTTGTTGTTGTGGTTTGGGAGATAATAATAATAATAATCCTTGCATTTGATATAGCGCTTTTCACGTCGGGAGGACGTCCCAAAGCGCTTCACAGAACACACTGTAAAGTGAATTGACTGTATATTTGTGGGCGAACGCGGCGGCCAATTGCGCACAGCAATGTCCCACAAACAGTCGTAGATTGAAAATGACCAATTTATTATTGTTTTTGGTTTTGGAGGATTATTATTATGGAGTAAGGACACTGTCCGAGGTTTCGCCCTCTGCCTGGAATTGAACTCAGGTCTCTCACTTGCAAAGCGAGTGCTCTAACCACTGAGCTACAGGACTCCAGGATACAGTAGAAACCTAAGAGAAGTAGAGGAGCAGCGAGACCTGGGGACTCAGATCCACAAATCTCTAGAAGTAACAACACATGTAAATAAGGCCATAACAAGGCCAATGGGGTCTTGGGCTTAATATCCAGAGGGATAGAGTATAAAAGTGAGGAGGTAATGTTCAATTTAATTAGATTCAATTCAATTGAGTGAATTTATTTATCTCTCTCTCTCTCTCTCTCCCACTGTCGTCGTGATAAATAAATTCAGATAACTAAACACACACACACACACACACACACACACACACGACTGGGCCGCATCCGCCGGAAAACAATGGCAGCCCCTCCCGCTCGCACTGAGCATGCGCGGCCCGCCCCCCCAGCTCGCACGGCACCCTGGGAGATGTAGTCCTGCCGCCTGTCAATCACTTGTGGCCCGGGAGAAGCCCCGCCCCCGCCAGACAGGCACCGCAACCACAACAACTTGCATTTATATTCCAAAACACAGTCCACAATCACATCTGTACAGAGCCCTTCACCGGGGGCAGTGCCCCCACCCCCCACCCCTCCCGCAGCGCTTGCTTGACAGTAGTTGACACCGACCCCAAGGGCAGAGAGAGGGCGGGGATGGGGGGGGAGAAAAGAGTAGTTTCTTTCCTAATATTATTATTATTATTAATCGTGGAGTCCTGTAGCTCAGTGGTTAGAGCGCTCGCCTCGCAAGCGAGAGACTTGGGTTGGATTCCCGGCAGGTCAGGTCAGGGCGAAACCTTGGGCAAGTTTCCTTACTCCACACACACACACACACACCTGATGATAATCCCTCAAGAGACAAAAACAATAATAATTCGGTCACTTCAATCCACGGCTGTTTGTGGGGACGCTGCTTGGGCGCAAATTGGCTGCCGCGTTTCGCCCACAAATATACAGTCAATTCACTTCACAGTATGTTCTGTGAAGCCCTTTGAGACGTCGAGAAAAAAGACGTGAAAAGCGCTATATCAAAATGCAAGGATTCTTATTATAAAAAGGGGGTATTTATGAAAAATGCCATTCTAGTGCGTGTGTGTGTGGTTTTTTTTGTGACTTTGTTTTTTATTCTTTCTGGGCTGTGGCTGGTTAGGATGTCGGGGTTTTTAGATAACATCAGATGCGCGGAGTGCGAATGCATCGACTGGAGCGAGAAACGGAATGCAATCGCCTCGTCCGCGGCTGGTGTGTTGGTGAGTACCTCAACCTCATTCAGGGTCTGTCTCCACCTACCTCTTTGACCAATGCTTTGGGTCATCGTTTCCCCCTCGACTCCCACCCCCAGCTCAGGTGCCCGGCCAGTACTGTTTAGTGTTTTGGGACCTTGACATGAAAGGCACTATATATAAATATGTTTTACCACTGCAAACTTTTAACATGAAAATGTATATTATTGGTTTGCCAATGGTTGAATTAGCAAAGGCTCAGTCTATAATGCGGCAATGGGGAGTGATTAATTTGGGTGTTTAATTGATGTTTTGTGGCCTGTCCTGACAAGAGCTGCTGTCAGAAGTTTGCTGAGGAAAGGACTGAGCTCAGAAATGCTTCCTTCCTTTCTTCCTATCTATCCTCACTCACTCACCCACTCCACAATAGTGAGAGAGACTCTGCAAAGAGATGAAGAGTGGGCAAGGTACTGGAGGCTGGTGGATCTGTCTTCAGATTATGTAGGTTAATCCTTAGCAATATTCATGAAAATAGGTTGTTCTGTATTCTGCAAATAAATTGATATTGTGTTTCATATGTATTACTTGTGTTGATCAACAAACAAAGATTAGAGTCAATGCAGACACTACATTTTATTCATCCCTATTTACTTCATGTGTTTGTACGAATTTGAAACCTGTTGTGTTTTTATTAGTTTTTCACAGGTTGGTGGATAATCATCGATGCAGCAGTCAAATACCCAGAAATGGACAAGTTTAATCACTCCTACCACACTTGTGGGGTTATAGCAACACTTGCGTTTCTCATGTAAGTATAGATAATAATAGTAATAATCCTTGCATTTGTTACAGCGTCTTATCATATTGTTGAGACGTCTCAAAGCGCTTCACGGGATATACTGTAAAGTGAATTGACTGTATATTTTGTGGGCGAAACGTGGCAGCCAATTGCGCACAGCAGCGTCCCAAAAGCTATCATTTGAAAAGTGGCCCCGGGTACTCTGTACTTCAATCTGTCTAAGGAGAACATTGTCGTTCTGCAGATCCATTTATCATGCTTCTAATGTTCCTTGTCTCATCCTGATGAAATTTGATGAGGAAACATGTTGGGTTTTCTTTGCAGGATAAATGCTGTTTCAAATGGACAAGTGCGTGGTGATGGATACAGTGAAGGATGCATGGGTCAGACAGGTATTTTGGTTCCTATCTCTTTGTAGCTCGGTAGTGACATCTGATTGATTTTAGCCCCCCCTCCTTGTGCCATTTGTCTTCCGAACACGTGTATCAGAATTCCTTTTAACTCAACTGTCCCAGGCTCAGTCCCTGCTGTGTTCAATGATTCCATCAGCAATTTATAAACACTGACGTGTATCAAGCAAAGCCTACAATGACGGTAGAACCAGATCAAAGGAATGGGTGTAACACAAAAACGTCAAAAACATACTCAAAGAAACAGTTAATGCAGCATTTAAATTATTTACTTTCGCTGTTTTCTTCCCCTGGTCCTTTTCCCCCAATTGCGTACAGCAGTGTCCCATAAACATAAACAAATAAAAAATAAACATTTTATAGTTGAATGCCCTTAACTTTGTTTCGTAAGTGAAGGGGAGCAGGGTTTCTACATATTCAAATTAAAAGTGATCATTTCAGTTTATTATCCGTATATTGCCTTGTACAGACTGGTGATATTTCATTATTTTTATTTTTTTAAAAGGTGCTCGAATCTGGCTGTTCATTGGTTTCATGTTGGCTTTCGGATCACTCATCGCATCCATGTGGATCCTGTTTGGAGGCTATGTTGTGCCACGTAGGTGAACATTATCACTTCCCCAGTCTTTGTTATGAAACAATGAAATATTTGATTCCACAGGTGCTTGTCTCTCAAAATCATTCGTTTCAGCATCAGTGTGTGCATATCCCTTGTTTCCAGCAGGTGTATGTGTATCTTATGTTCTTATTCTTTTAGGAAGTAACATTATGGGATATAGTACATAGGTAATTTGGAACACACATGCATGCGAGCGCCAGGAAGGTGGAAGGCGAACTAGATGGACCTTGTTTGTTCTTTCACCTAACATTTCTTAGGTTCCTATGTGCACATCACTTGTACATCTCTAATAATATTTTTGCCTTATCTTTCTCTGTGTCTAGCTCATCGACAATTGACCAAAACACTAAAGGACGTATTTTTCTTTTCTCTTTCAGAAAAGCCAGATGTTTATCCTGGTATAGCTGTCTTCTTCCAGAATGCTTTTATCTTCTTTGGGTAAGCATGGATTTAATTAACAGTAGATCAAAAAATTGGGCACCATCCTTTTGTTTTTTTTTAAAAATACAAGTTTGCTTAAGCTACAGGATCCAGTATTTCCTGATGTAGAAAGATTGGATGTTTTTGAACCCTTTGGACGACTAAATGGATATTGTGTTTGTGTGTGTTTCTGCAGGGGCTTGGTCTTCAAGTTTGGCCGCACAGAAGATTTGTGGCAGTGAATACACAGTTGTGGCAATTTATTGACTGTATCCTGTAGAACTTATCATGCACGCCTGTTATCTGTAACTCTCTCGCTCTACCGTTTGATATTCTGAACCATTTTTGCTGTTGGGTTTACATGGAATCATGGAGTGTATTGAGACTTTCCCTCCAGGGTTTGTCTTGGGTATCTGACTTTGTGATCCATATTTGGCTTTGATTGCTTTGCTATTATGCTCTTAAAGGGGCATTGTCATCCTTCTGGTGGGGGTAGAGTGATTATGCTAAACAATTAGGGCAGCTTCTACTGTTGTCTAAATGCAATGTACATCGTAGCAAAGGATTGCAGATGAAGTACATGTGAGACTGTTTACGCAGCATTTAATGCATTCATCAGTCAGAAGCTTTTGTATACGCACAGACAAGTTTAAACTCTTCCAATATAGTGTTGGACTTGTTGGCCACTTCTGGGTTAGATCCAGTTGATTGGAGAGTTTCTTTATAACTGACATACAGTATCTGTCTTGTGAACCAAAGTATCCTGGTGGCACTCCTTGAAGTAGGCTAAATTATTCCTTGCTTTCCGTATTTTTTGCCAATCTGTCGAATCCATCTAACAATCCTTGCTGTGTTTGTCTATTACTGAAAATGATTTACACACAGCAGTGTTGAAGGATTTGGAGGACATTGTTACATAGAGCATCATGTAATTCCAGAATTTTACATATCTACATGTGACTATATTTGGTCATCCTAAGGATTTCATCCAAATGTGTGGAATGTCTGGTGGTCAGATGAACAAATGAATCCTCCGAATGCTAACTTGTCTTCAGAATCTTATGTTAAGCAGCCAAATTAACAGCCATGTCTATTATGGCTCCATTAACTGACATTGCATCATCATGACCCTAACTTCTAGACATTGGGTGCTTTACCTTGGTGGGCTAGTTATCCATGCAGTTATTCTGACTTTTGTATGTAACAGCAGTGTAACTATTCATAAAACACTACTTAATGCAAGTCCTTCCCGTAAAATAAATTTATTACTTCTGTATTATGTATGTGATCGTTATTGGTTTCATTTTGTGACAATGCACAGCTTAAGCTGAAATTTAGTGCAACTATTCATTACAGCTTTTCTTGCTTAAGTTTCTCCAGATCCCACGAGCCTGAATTTCAATTTGTTTCGATCTTTTGAACGAACTTTATTCTGTTTTTTTTATATACTGTAATTATAAAGTGTACATGAAACCTGACATAACTGGTAGCTCGAGCATATTTGATGATCCTGTTTAATGCACAAAGTAAAATAGTACAAAACAAACGCAAAAGAGCACTGATTCAGATAGCTGGTAGGGTCATTGCTGTCTCAGCCAGCCATGAAATATAAACCTCCACAGGTGGCACGTGCATGTGAGTGGGTTATGGATAGAGCCACAACTGGAAAATATTGTATTCTAATATTGTATTCTTGCCTTTGATACAGCGCCTTATCACATCGTTGAGATGTCTCAAAGCGCTTCACGGAATATACTGTAAAGTGAATCGACCGTATATTTTGGGGGGCAAAACGCGACAGCCAATTGCACACAGCGGCGTCCCCACAAACAGTCGTGGATTGAGGGACCAAATTATTATTTTTTTAACAAAACAACTTGTTTTGAAGGGATTATTACCAATATAGCCAATGAGCATGCCCCAGTGCCTGTTGATTTTTATCATAATAATTCAACACACGCAATTTGCATAGATTTTTTGTGAGATTAGTCGTGTTGTGAAAGGTTTCCTTCGCCTCGTCTTTGGCTCAACGTTGAAAGATGCCAGTGACCTTCCTTTACTTCACTGTTGCTAAGTGCGGGAACTGTAAAACAAATCGTATCGCATCACGACAACTGTTATCTACTTTCAATCCGGTTTCAGGCCTTGGCTCTTGCCAACCTACGCCTAATACTCTCCGGAATTTAGGTAGGCAGGATGCCTATCTCCAGGGAGAGAGAGAGAGAGAGAGCGAGAGCGCGTTCCATCCCAACAATCTATCTGTGGGATTTCCGGGGGTGGGTGGGATGCATGGGATTCTCAGCTTGGGTTTGGAGACTCTGGAACGTGGTGATGGGTTTCCGCGTGGGTCAGACACCCCCACCCGGCTGACCCCCAAAATAGATGGGGAGCAGTGGTGTAGTGCGCTGTATGACCTCCAGGTGGGGCTATTCGGCTCTTTAAAAATGCCTCATCCTTTTGTTTTATTTGACGGGATTATTACCCCCCGGGAAAGCGATCCGCCAATCGACTAACAACCGCCTTCCTATTTATCGCTGGTGGAGTGGAGTAAGGAAGCTTACCTTAGGTTTCCCTCTGCCCGGGAGTCGAACCCAGGTCTCTCGCTTTGCGAGGTGAGCGCTCTGATCGCTGCGCAACAGGAACCGAGGAGAAAAATAACAGAACATGGGACACGTAAAAAGGAACAAAAAAAGGAATGGCTCCTTTGATATTGATTGATTTTAGCGAATAAATAGTACTGGGCAGTGAGTTGCTATCTTTTGAGGAAAGGAGAGTGGGGCGGGGGGGTGGGGGATTTACAGTTAGAAAAATAATAATGAGTTCTATTCTGCCAATGGAATCAAGACTGTTTGGTTAGGATGCTTTGTATAAGTAAGTGACTGTTCTGCTTACCACCCAGTATGCTTGATCATCGTAACATTTCAGATCAGGGGGCTGTTTCCAAATGTTTAGCTTCAGAATAAAACCTGCACGGCAGAAATGTTCATGGCGTTATATAATAATAATAACCCTCGCATTTGATACAGCGCCTTATCACGTCTTCCAGACGTCTCAAAGCGCTTCACAGGATACACAGTAAAGTGAATTGACTACATTTTGTGGGCGAAACGCGGCAGCCAACTGCGCACAGCAGCGTCCCCACACAAACAGCCAAACGTGGATTGAGTGACCAATTCGTTTTTAATGTCCTGGATAGCAATAAATCGAAATTATTTTAATAAAACTTTACTCACAAACTAATCTATTTGAGTATTAGATATTGCTTGTTTTTTCAACGAACCATCAACTATTCAGCAAAGTGAAAAAAGCATAACAAATTGCCTTTATTCTTTAATGAAAGAAGTATTCTGTAACATGGTTTAGTCTTATTCTTATTTAGGTCCTTGTGTTTCGTAATAATCCTTGCATTTGGTATAGCCCTTCGCATCAAAACTCTCAAAAGTACTTTACTGGAAAGTGTAGTGACTGTGCTCGTAGGCAAATTCAGGAGTCAACTTGTGCTCGGCAACGTGCCAGGATTGTTGGCCAGGACACAGGGAGAAACTTCCTTCTCTTTGTGAATAGCGCCACGGAATCTCTAACGTACACCTGAACAAGCAGGCGGGACCTTGCATTTTATCCGAAGATCATCACTTCCTAAAATGCAACGTTCCCTCTTCATTGCAGAGGATTGTCAGCCTGGACTATAATTCTGACTTGGGGGTTTGAACCCACAACCTTCTGACCCGGAGGCGAGAGCAGTATCAGCTGAGCCAGGCTGACATTGGTTACGGATGAGTCACAGCCTTAAATTGACCGGTATGTTCTGATCGAGTATTAATTTACTCGGTCACTTGTGTGGACCCAAGTACTGAATCAAAAGATTTGTCACGGACCAAATGAGCAAATGTCTTTTTTCCGTCAAGAGTATTTTTTCCGAGATAGACATCATTGTTGCATTGGATGAATAAGATTTGCAGGTGCCTTGAAGGAGACGAGGGAGGGAGCGAGGTAAAGGGACTGTGGGATGGAGTTCCAAAGGGTGGGGGCAGAGAACATGCAACAGCCAAGTCTCATACCAGCTTCAATCATCCACAAGGGCATCGACAGCCACATAGAGTCACCTCTTCTAATCATGTCCCAAGAACCTCATTGTCAGTGAGCACATAACTACCATTCACACGGTTGTTGCTACGCTCCTTAATATAGCACAATATGATAGTTATAATTACACTCTGTATTGTGACTCACTCCCCCTTCTGCGAAAATGCTGTCAGGGCAAAGGTCTGTTTTCTAATAATGTTTTGTATATGGATTTGTTTGTTGTTGGCGGTGAATGTCAACGTTTAGTTTACTTGCTGTAATGTTTGGGAACTGAAAAAGATGAATCAGCGGGTTAATAAAGAAGCGAGCAGCCGGCCCAGACACGATCAGAGTTAAAACATTATGCGATGATCCCATCAATGAAATTTCATGTCATTCAGATTCTCTCTCTCTCTCTGCAAATGCCAGTTCACACACTGACCTGCGATCAATCCTGTGACCAGGCTTGCGGACAGCGTGACGATTATGGCTACTGCTTTGTTGATTGGGGATCTGAAACACACAAAGGCCAAAAATTAACTCTTTCAAAAGTATAATATTCCTAGGATTATTATTATTATTACTCTAGACAAGAGTTTGAAAACCTACCCTTCATAATTGAGACTTTTGTTGGGCACCGGCGAAGTGAGAAAGATGAGAACGACGTAAACTATCCCTCCGATTATCCCAGGCAGGCCGTGCGTGTACAGAACCCCACAGGTATCGTGCAATTTCATACGTGTTTCAAGACATCTCTAAAGCAAATGCATCATTATGGATTGTAGACAAATTCAAGGAATATCGGAAGCAATTGAGCCAAATAATATTGCGGCGGAAGGGCAGGGAGAGTGGGGGTAGGAGGGTGACCGAAGGTGCAGTCGAAGAGGAGGGTCTTGAGACGGGTCTTTAAGGAGGCGAGGGAAAGGGAGGGTGAGGGCAGAGAGGCTGAAGGTCCGATGTCGGGTGGTGGGACGGGAGATGTTGCAGGACGGAGGCTGCCGACTCATTCAACAATTTGTTTCAAAAACGTCAACCATTTATTCAACTTCAAATAATTCAAATAACCGATAAATGTTATCAATTAGACCGACAGTTTCCACTGTGTTTGGATTTCTTAACCAGAGGGCTTTGTGTGCAAGCTGCTTGCGATGCATTTCGACAGTGCCCTGTGTGTACAAAAGCCACGACATTGGTTGCGAGCTGCGCTTGTGGCTTTTACATGAGGCGACGATAAAGTCGCGGCGGGTTTCGAAAGCGTTTCGGTGAAGGTTTGAGCGGTTGGCTGTTTTTTTGTGTGTTCGCTGCAGAGTAATTATTTCCGTAAGCTATACCACCTTACTGCTCGGCGGTGCAGTAAGATTCAGTCGTAACAAGCCGTTGGTTGGTTTTTCAAGGCACGCGTTCTCTGAACCGAAACAACTGAAAGAAAGGCAGCGAGCATAAAGTGGGTGATCCAAAATCGAGGTGAATTTCCACGGCAGCTGTAATAATTTCAGCCCACATTACCTTCAAGTACACGACACCGAGGGTGGAGATAACACCAGCCGTGAAGCCAACTATCATTGCTATGTACGGAGAGTCTATCAGAGGAGCAGAGAGGCCAATTGCAACACCTCCTGATAGTGTAGCGTTACGGATGTTGGCCTGTAAGTACAACCGGGAAGGCAAGTAAACCACATCTTAAGAACATAAAAACATAATTAATTTTCTCGGGCGAAAGAAGAGCGAGGTCCATCGAGTTTGCCTTCCACCTTCCTGGCAGTGGCTTGACATGTCGTGTCTCTCTTCTCTTGTCAGTCGGGACTTCCTACAGAAATTTCGAAGTTCGATTCGCTCAGTTTCTCAATTTGCTTCTCAAAAATCTTTTAGTGTCACGTGTATTTATTTCCAAAGTACGTAACAATATCCACAACCATAACAATCCTGGCGGTTGATATAGTTAGTGTCTTGTCACCTCGACAGGCGGTTTGAAATGCGAGGATGATTTCCTTTTCTTTTATTGTTGATAATAATACTGATCGTGATCAGATACAGAACAACGTGACTACAGGGACGCAATTCTGTTTCTCTGTCTGTTACATTGAACAAAGGAAAATGTCACACACTGCGGTGACGTGTGACAAGGTACACAGTCACTACACTTTACAGTGTATCCTGTGAAGCGCTTTGAGACGTCTCGACGACGTGATCAGGCGCTGTATCAAACGCCAGGGTTATTATTATTATTAAATACCCGTATCAAACAAGTTCTAATTTCAGGTGAAATTGTGCTCTTATCTTATGTTGGGAAGCGCGTGTGATTTGAGCAGCGGGATTTTCCAGCTCTGTGTTTTTTTTTTGCTTTTGAGTGGATAACCGAACGTTGTAACTTATTTAACCGACTTACTATCTGACGCGCACACCAGTCCCTGGCCTGGAATTCAATAAATGTGGTAGCGTAATTGTGAATGGAAAGGAAGATCTTCTCCCTTGGTGTGAAGTGTAAGTATAAGGATCCCGACGCCAACACAATGAAACGGAAGAGAATGAGAAATACCCTGTTACCATGTCTATTTTCCCTTTGTTGTGGACGAGAGTGGAAACAGCAAACACAGACACACTGCAAGCCGCCAACGCGTAATAGGTGTTGAAAACAGCTCTTGACCTCTGAAGCCTTGTATCAAGTAGTGCTGAGTTGAAGCTGGGCCAGAACATCCACAGAAAGATAGTACCTGGGACAAAAATAAAAAGGTATACGTTATGTGCTCACAATTATTAATAGTAATGATCCTTGCATTTGCTCCAGCGACTTCGAGATGCCTCAAAGCGCTTCACAGGATAGACTGTAAAGTGTAGTGACTGTATGTTTTATGGGTGAAATGCGGCAGCCAATTGCGCACAGCAGAGTCCCATAAACAGTCGTGGATTGAGTGACCAAATTATTATTATTTTTTGGAATGTAAAACAATCGAGTGAAAAATTCCTCTCAAGTTCCAGTCAAGCTACCGACCTCTTCTTAAATCCCCTGTGTTGCTTTTTTTTTCAAAATCCATCCTCTCGCAGTTAGTTTCCAGACCAGATGAGAAGTCTGCATTATCTTCTTCTATCTCTCCGCCTTGCCCCCATCCTTCCCCCTCTTCAGGTCGTGCCTGAAGACCTTCCTCTTCGACCAGCGCCTACGGTCACCTCCCCCCTTCTTCCCCCCCCCGCCCCCGGCTGGGTATTGTGCTCCGTCACTGTCAAGCGCTCTGGGGCGTGAGGAGGCGCTGTGTAAATGCCCACAAGTTGTTGTTGGGTCAGTGTTTGGCACTCGCACAGAGAGTTACCCACACGTACCAATCATAGAGAACAGTTCGGAGATCGGCAATGATCCTTCCTTCTCGTGGCCGTTACAAAGTCCTGAACGATAGAGAACCCTCGAGGCTGTAAGTCCAAAAAAAGCGCCAAACAAGTGCAGATGCATTACACTGGTGTCTGGATCGATCTGCATTGGAAGAAGATAAGCTTAGATTTTTATAGCGTCTTGTCACATGTCGAGTTATTATTACTTCCCTGTTCAGCGCCTTGAGATGTCCTCTCGACCTGAAAGGCACATTACAGATGTCATTGTGTATTGTATCACTCCCGGAAAAGCCATCCCCCAATCGACTAACGACTGGGTTTCTGCTTACTGCTGGGTGTGTGGAGTAAGGAAAGTTGCCCAACGTTTCGCCCTGCCCGGGAATCAAACCCGGGTCCTCTCGCTTGTGAGGCGAGGGCTCTAACCCCTGAGCTACAGGACTCCAATTAATAATAACTTGCAGGTTCTGTCAACACAGAACAAGCTTGTCACTATTTGACTAAGTCAATGAACCAATAATAACTCAATACAGAAATATTGTGGACGAGGAGCAGGAACTTCGGGTTAGTTAAGGAAACAAGTTAACGTATGGCTTTAAGAAACAATGACACGAGATTTACAAACCCAGTGTTATTACGTGATGCAGCAAAATTACATCAAGAAAAATGAATGTCACTGTTATCGTTTCCCCGTTCCTGCTTGTGATACTCACCGAAAGCCAACTTTTCAGAAACCATTGATCGACAACGAAACAGGTTAACTCCAGGGCCACCATCAGCAGTAACTGTATGGGACTCATCACACCCACAACTGCACCGATCGAGATCACTGCAGACACTGCGTTCAGTTCTGCCCGGATTATACTGCAAATTAACAACATAAATCCTCTTAGCTTTCAGCCGTTGCGCCCCCCCCTCCCACTCCTGGGTACCCCATCCCGGAGTCCGTCCACCTCACCCCTTCCCTCTCTGCCTGTCTCACCACCTGATCGCACCTTTATAATAATAACAATAACAAAATAATAATAATCCTGGCATTTGATAACAGCGCCTTATCACGTTGTTGAGACGGCTCAAAGCGCTTCACAGAATATACTGTAAAACGTAGTGACTGTGTGTTTTGCGGGCAATTTTGGCTCGGTGTCAGACTCAGCCACTGTCAAGCGCTCCGGGATGCTACCTCCCGGGAAGGGCACTATATATGTGCAAGTTGTTGTTGTTGTAAGTTAACTAAACAGTCAAGGGGAAGCTAAGTGACTGAGAGTGCGAACTATGGTGTAACTGTAATTGTATTTAACGGCAATAAATTCCACTTAGGGCTGAACTAAAAACTGGCAAAAGTTTATCCCAACGACGGCAGATGAAGCTTAATGATACGGACAGCTTTGGGACTTCAAACGGTAGAGAAATTGCTAAAATCCTGTTTATGCAATCATTTTTTATTAATCAAATGGATCAGGTGAGCAGGTGAATCTTTCTAAGGGAGCAAAGTCAATGTCGAACATATGTCTTTATGTATTTATGTAGAACAAATTTGCACAGTGATATGTGTTCCCAAGGTACTACATTTTAGCTAATCTGGAACATAAATTTACAAGACGAGAACCTGTTAAGGGACTTGTATTTTGGATCCAGTCAAAGACACTCAGATCTACTCACTGCCATTGGCTCCTCTCAAGTAATAAATGAACTGCTTAAAACCTGCGACCATGAGCATCTCGTTAAAAACCTGAGCATTTCCTGGCCTCCAGTCCAGATTCATTGAGATTTATGTTGCCATTAAATGCAGCGAATCTCCTCAGATTTCCTGAGAAGAGGAACCAAATCTACAAGTAACTGAAGATAATGAATTTGCATCTTCGCACATTTTCTGCTCGGTTGAGTAATTCCATTGCAAAATAGAGAAGCACATTCATCCCGTCGAAACCACAGATATATACAGCAAAGAAGAAGTCCAGTCGACCTTCCGTGTCTATTTAACTCCTGCATAAATATTAATAATAATCCTTGCATTTGATATGGAGCCTGGGGCCTCTCACAAAGTCCTGTTATCCCCCACCCCACCCTTATTTTTTTTCTTACAATGAATTTTTATTTTCTGTTGCAGAGTAGTCGAGTGTAACAATGTTTGATACCAGTAACTTCCTCCTCACTGACTCCATCCATCCATGTTACTGAAGATGTTAATACCGAACATGGTGACAGATCATTATCTACCGTGAAAATGATGGCGCTCACACACATACACACACACGCACACGCCATTTGTCTGGATGTCTAAATACAGTCCCACATTTGTACTGAAATCAATGATGTGACTTCTAAATATAATTAGTGTCATTCCTCCACGTGTTTCAGTTGTCGATCAGCGCGCGGTGTAGAAAATGAAACGTGGGTTGGGGGTAACGAGACTTTGTGAACATCCTGTGCAATTTATTGGGAGCAAATCTACAGAGACTTTACCTTTTAAGACTTATCTGTATTCCTTCCTGCAGAGTGTCAAGGAGCGCTCCTTCCAGGAAGGTGGCCCACTGAACGGCGAGGGCCGCGAGGAACAGATTGAAGGCAAGGCCACTGTGTGCATATCGCTTGAGGAATGTGAGGAGGAAGCCGAACCCAATGAAGACAACAGCGTTGACATCTTGAAATACTATTAAAAGGAGTAAAACAGGTCTGCCCTCAAGTAATAATAATCCTCGCGTTTGATACAGCGCCTTCTCAGGTCTTCGAGACGTTCTCAAAGCGCTTCACAGGATAGACTGTAAAGTGTAGTGACTGTATTTTGTGGGCGAAACGCAGCAGCCAATTGCGGACAGCAGCGTCCCCACAAATTGAGTGACCAAATTATTATTTTTTTATAAAGGGGATTATTACGCACGGAAAAGCGATCCACCAATCAACTAACAACCGGGTTCCTACTGACGTGATAAGGCGCTGTATCAAATGCAAGTATTATGATTATTATTTCAAGAAAGCTTTCCAGCAAGTCTCAAAGCATTTCAAAGTTTTCCCTGCAAAGTGCAGGGAACCTGACCAGAATTCAAGTGTTTCTGTTAAAATGAAATGACTACAGTTTAGGTTTATGTTGACCACGGTTTTCTTATCAGCACTGTCAAGAGTTTTACGCCCTGCCTTGTGAGTCGGTTTTATCTGTCTTAGAAGTTACTGCTGTTAACTACTAATTTTTATAGCCTCGCCCACACACTCAACAGCCAAAACATGGCAACATGACTCGTAACTGTCCCTTCTATTCTCTGCACTACTCTGTGAGATGAAATTTACCGCATTTATCTTTCATCAGAATATTTTTCAGGATGTTTTCCGAAAAGGGGCTTTATGCTTTTTTTTTAGTTCATATTCCATGGGAGTATATGTATATATATATACATATTAAATTATAATAATCAAATAAATAAAACAACAAACAAATAACCCTTGTATTTGATATGGTCGGGAAGGACATCTCAAAGTGCTTCACAAGATTCACCGTGAAGTGTAGGGGCTTCCTATTTTTGTAGGCAAACTGGGAAACAAATTTGCACTCAGATACGTCCCCAAACACATTTAGATGAACAAAAGTCATTGGAAACCCTCGGCAGGTCAGGCAGCATCTATGGAGAAAGGAAAGTGAGTCAACCTTTCAGGTCCACGACCCTTCGTGGGAACTGGGGCACGTTGGGAGGGAGAGGCTTTTAAGGACTATCAGAGAGGAGGAGAAGGCATGGCAAGGAAGAACAAAGGAGAAAACGGGGTAGAGGAGACGGGATGATGGGTTAAAGAAGTCTTTAACCCATCATCTTTACGTCTTTTACCTCCGTGTCCAAAATGCTGCAACTCCCCCCAACCCCCCACCCCCCAAAAAAAGAAGTATGCAAGATTTGCAATAATATAGTGATATGCGACATTACTTTTCACTTGAGACATAACTGAAAAATTAAAAGCCCATGTTTGAAATGTTGTGACTTTCTACTCTCTGGTTTGTCTGTTTAAATATATTTGAGTTTGGGAAGAATTTGATAGTGATGTACTGTCTCTGAGCGAACACAGAACATCACTTCGAACTGATGGTAACTCAAACACGCTGAACTGTGGTTGCTTGATCCATTGGACTGTAGTGCTTTGTTTCCCATATTTCAGCTTATTGCATTCATTTTGTGGAATACTGTAGTTCAATGGTTAGAGCACTCGCCTCGCAAGCGAAAGGACCTGAGTTTGATTCCCAGGCGGGGTCAAACGTTAGGCAAGCTTTCTTGCTCCACGCTCACTCCTCCGCTTACCCAGCATTAAGTAGGAACCCAATTGTTAGTCGATTGGCGGTTGGCTTTTCCGGAGGTAAGAATCCCTTCAAAACAAAAATAACTTTCAAAAAAAATAATAATTTGGTCACTCAGTCCACGACTGTTTGCGGGGACGCTGCTGTGCACAATTGGCCGCCGAGTTTCACCCACAAAACATACGGTCAATTCACTTTAGACTTTACATTTCTGTGAGACGTCTCGAAGACATGATAAGGCGCTGTAACAAATGCAAAGATTATTATTATTACTAAAGAGCTTTATGCACACTTACCTGGGTAAGTAATACTGAATTTTCCCTCTGTAATAGCTTTATAGTCAACAAATCCGGCGAATAATCCTATTATTGCCACCTGGAAAACCAGAGCCATCAGAGGGAAACTCAGCCTGATGCTGGGAGCCAGTTTGTTAGACATTGCGATGTTTTCTTTCAGTATTTCAAGAGTGTTGTTGCTGCCTCGCTGAATATTTCAATAAAATGAATACTTGAAAAGTCCCCCTTTGGTATCCTCGCTCACAAGCAAAAGCAGCGCAAAGATAAGAAATAACGGACACACCTTTTTCTTCAAGGGGCAATGTTTTTCTAGGAATGCACATACTCCAATGACAGAGCAGTCCCAAAATGTCTGTACCTTTGCCTTTAAGAGCGGTATCTAATTGACGCTAACATTTACGCACTCTTTCTCCTTCCCCTCTGGTATAAAATTATGTATTGTTACATTCATCTACATTTCCATTTGTATCTCTATTGTTAATAATAATCCTCCTTACATTTTGATAGAACTCCCTTCAACAACAACAAAATTACATTTGTATAGCGCCTTCCACGTCGGGAGGACGTCCCAAAGCGATTTCACATCTGGAGGTTGTGCTAAAGCGCTTCGCAGGGTTCACTGTCAACCTGTAAAGTGTCGCGACTGCGTGTTTTGTCGGTAACCATTGAGATTGATTGTTGTAAAGCTCGAATAAATGGACTTTGTAGTTCTTCCATTGAACGAGCTGGTAATCCAGCTGGCAAGGGTAGGACAGGCCTCGAGTGGGAGCGAGAGACTGTCTGAAACACAGTTTGCATAATTCTGTTATTTTGGAATTCATGTCTACACGAAGCACTGCCAACATGACGCAGTTTGGTGGTGTTCACTTGTTTGGATACTCTTAAGCACGGCTGACGGGCACCCGGCCGGCCAACAGCACAGCGCATCGAAATGCAAAGAAGTGGATTAACGTGGCGTCAACCATAATAGTAATTAATATAAATAATAATAATAATTAATGTAAATAATAATAATAATAATAGTTAATGGGCGTAAATACGCGTCCGCTGCCCACAGTGCATTGGGCTTCATTCCAACTGGTACAAGGCCGGACGTAAGAACATAAGAGTTCGCTCGGGTTAAAGAGGTCCACCATCCTGGCCGGCACTTGGCATGACTTGTCCCCTGTGATGTCACGGAGCCCGCCCCTGTGATGTCATAGCACCCGCCCCTGTGATGTCATGGCACCCGCCCCTGTGATGTCACGGAGCCCGGCCCTGTGATGCCACGGCGCCCGCCCCTGTGATGTCACGGCACCCTCTCCTGTGGTGTCACGGAGCCCGCCCCTGTGATGTCACGGCACCCTCCCCTGTGATGTCACGGCACCCTCCCCTGTGATGTCACGGAGCCCTCCCCTGTGATGTCACGGAGCCCTCCCCTGTGATGTCACGGAGCCCGCCCCTGTGATGTCACGGAGCCCGCCCCTGTGATGTCACGAATGTGGGCAGAAGGCTCCATTGATGACATCGCAGGACCAGAGGTTCCACTCAAAATGTCTGCTTCCAGCAGGTCCCGAAGCCTAAATCACAGCGACGGGGGGGTCACTGAGGGACCCCAATAACGGCCCAGGTAACAACCACCGTTGGTCGTGTTCAGGGGGTTTCTCAGGTGTGTGAACTGGACATTACCTTTGTGTTTTTTAATCACTGATGAGTTCACATGAATAGCAATGGCTTATCATATTATAATATAATATTATATTAGATAGATTTCTGATAGAAAATGATGATCTCTGGGGGATACTGTGTATAGTTTGGGGACACGGCACGTCAAGCGACCCGACTGACGGCCAGGGTGGCGGAAGGCGAACGAGATGGACTTCAGTATTCTTTGGCCTGGCAAATTCTTTTGTTCTTTTGTTAACGGATGCTGTTTATTGGTACACAACGATATAGACAACCGCCTTTTTTTTACTCCATCGCTTTTTTTTCTCCCCCCCCCCCCCCCGCCCGCCCGTCCTCTTTAAACGGGTCAGAATGAATGTTCACAGTTATATTTGTGTTCAAATATTTATCTGAAATGTACACGTCGGTCGGTCAGTGCACGAACAACCTAGCATGAGCGGATTGGACAGAATGTAAACCAAACAAGTGTGGGTGTGTTCTGACATTGTTAATTAAGCAAATAGGCAGTGACTTGTTCAGGAATCTGCAGCACTCTTGTTTCTGTGCTTGCACAATCCGGAGTAGACAGCTACAACTACAACAACAACAATTTGCATTTATATAGCGCCCTTCACGTCATCGAGCCCTTTTTCCCTTTGAGAGACGAGTTATCAGAAGTTTATTGTACTGAATATTTGGGATAAAAGAAACTTGTTTTCAACTGGGGACAAGTTCCAATGGCTTATCTGCCTGTTGGGTAGCGGTTGTGACCATTTATTTCATTAGGCATATACGTTTGTCAGGATCAGAATAGATGCTTATGGTAAAAAGGGAGAAATCCACTTTTAATGCAGATCAGTTTATACTCACCCTGGAATTTTCAGATCCGTTCCCAAATTTTCACAGGTGAATTAACCTTTAATTTATTATCAATAATTTGCCAGGTAAGGATAGATACTGTACTATTTTGAGGGTTAGGTTGATTTGAGCTGGCCCTTCCTTCTACTGTAAAATGATACAGTATTTGATAATTAATGCTGCCCTCTTAACCCCCAAATATTATTGTTTTCAATATTAATATTAATATCAACATTTAAAAATATTGTAAATACCAGTCCATGATGGTATTTATACTCCACATAAGCCCCAAAGATAATAATTCTTCTTCAAAAAAATTTTTGGCAGTCAATCCACGACTGTTTGTGGGACACTGCTGTGCCCAATTGGCTAATGTAAACTCACTCTCCCCACCCTCCACCCCCTTCTGATCCCAACCACCAGCTCGGGTCCAAATCCCTGACTGTCCAGCGCCTTGGGACCTCCTCCCTCCCAACGTGAAAGCCGCCGTGTAGATGTAATTTGTTGTTGTTGTTAGAAACAGCTGCACATCTTTTTTGTGCGTGTGTGTCGGGCAAGCAGACAAGTGTGGCTGAAGGCCATATTTTGCGCATTAAGGCGAACGACTTGTATTAATTAATACGAGTTGTGTCGTTTGCATTCGAATAGTTTGGCCCAAACCATAAAATCAACAACAACAACAACAATACGCTTTTGGTTGAGCTGAACCTTTACAATCAAATAACCGCCCGCCCGCCTTTAAAGTAGGTCTGGAATTTTCAGTCCGTGGATCAAAAAGCGTGATCCGGTCAATGAGGCTTAAATGCAACAAAGACAAGAGGATTCGAATTGAGGGTGGAAGGGGCGGGATGGGGGACGTGAAATCTAATGTAATTTCCCCCTTGAGTTCGGTGTTATGATTCATCCCCAATAGCTCGAGTCTCTGCTTTAAGCGGTGACAACCTGCCGACGTGGAACCCCAGCCCATCGCACCTCAACCTAACCTGACCCAGCTGGCCCGCGGCCCGCCTCCCCGCGATTCCTATTGGCCGAGCCTTTGGACCGGCAGGAGGCGGGTAGCGATTGGTCGAGGCGGCTGTCAATCACGCCCATCAAGCTAGTGCGACCTCCCTGAAGCGAGGCCGCAAGCCGACGCCCTGCTCCCCGCCCATGGGGACCGCCGATTGGTCCGTCTCGGATGATTGACGTGCATCTGCCGCCGGCCCGGGGGGGGGCGAGGGGGAGAGGGCGCCTCCCTTCACGCTGATTGGGCAGCCGCGGTGTCAATCACTACGGTCCCGCTCGGTGATTGGTCACGTTTTAACGTCAATCACAGCGATTCAAGGGGCAGCCCAACGGCTGAGGTCCCGCCCCTCCACCTCACTGCTGGGACCAGAGGACACAGTGTGTGTGTGTGTGAGAGATAAGGGGGGGGGGGGGGGGAGAGTGGCCTGAGCACACAGATGGACAGACAGAGTGACACACACACAGACAGACAGACAGACAACACACAGATAGACAGACAGAGTGACACACACACAGACAGACAGAGTGACACACAGACAGACAACACATAGATAGACAGAGAGTGACACACACACAGACAGACAGACAACACAGATAGACAGACAGAGTGACAGACAGACAGACAGATAGACAACACACAGATAGACAGACAGAGTGACACACACACAGACAGACAGACAACACAGATAGACAGAGAGTGACACACACAGACAGACAGAGAGTGACAGACAGACAACACACAGATAGACAGACAGAGAGAGTGACACTGACAGACACACAGATAGACAGACATACATACAGAGAGACACACAGATAGACACACACACACACACACACAGATAGGGGGAGGGTGATAGGGTGGCTTGGACACACAGACAAGACAGATAGACACAGATAGACAAACAGAGACACACAGAGAGGGGGTGGGGATAGTTTCATTTTGATTTAATTCTTTGTTTGAAAGAAATAAAGAAGAAAAAGAGGAAAGAAAATAAAAGTCAGAGAGACAGACACACAGGGAAAAGGAGGAGGGGGTGATAGTGTGGCCTGGACACACACACAGACAGATAGACAGACAGACACACACACACACAGATAGACACACACACACACACACACAGAGAAATGGAGGGGAATTGGTTTCATTTCATTTTAATTTCCTTTGTTTGAAAGAAAATAAACTCAGAGAGAGAGAGACACACACACACACACACAGGAAGTGGGTGGGTTTCATTTCATTTAAAATTTAATTCTTTGTTTGAAAGAAGAAGAAAAAAAGAGGAAAGGAGAGGGAAAAAAAAGCCAGAGAGACACAGAGGGTGTGTGTGTGTGTGTGTGTGGGGGGGGTGATAGAGTGATCTGGACAGACAGACAGACACAGAGAGAGGGAGGGAGAGACACACACACACAGAGGGAGGGGTGGGTGGGTATTAGGGTTTCATTTCAATTTTGATTTCATTCTGTCTTTTGAAAGAAAAAAAGAAGAGGGGAGGGGGGGGGGGGGGAAGAAAAAAAAAGAAAGAAAAGGAGGAAAGGAAGGCAAAGAAAGAGAAAAGGAGATAATAACACGTCTTTCTCTTTTAAATAAGAGAGAGAAAAAAACATTTTAATTCTTTTACATAAAGCCCACAAAACCTCCCAAATGATTCCCCAAATTTAATTTATTTATTTCCCTCCTCTCTCTCTCTTCTCCCCTCCCTCCCTCCTTCCTTCCTTCCCCTCCTCTTTCTCCTCCTTTTTTTATATAAAAAAACCAGAAAGAAAGAGACATAAATATATATATATATATATATATGTGTGTGTGTGTGTGTGTGACGTGTTTATTATATTTCACGTCTACATCATCATCATCACCAGTGTGTGTGTGTGAGAGAGAGAGAGAGTGTGTGAGAGAGAGGAAGAAAGAGAAAATAAAGGGAAGTGTGTGTGTCTCTCTCTCTCTCTCTCGTGTGTGTGTGTGTGTGTCAAAGAGAGTGAGTGAGTGAGAGTGAGAGAGAGAGAGAGGACGAAGGGAAGGGAAGGAGAGAGAGAGAGAAGGAAGGAGAGGAAAAGGAAGAAGGAAGGAAAGAAGGAAAGAAGGAAGGAAGGAAGGAGGGAGGCAGCGAAGGACAGACAATGAAGAGGCGAAATGCTGATTGCAGTAAGATCAGGAGGCCGTTAAAACGGAACCGAATCACCGAGGGCATTTATGGCAGGTAATCACCTCTGTTATTGCCCTTTACTCCCTCCTTCCCCCCACTTTCCCTCCTCCTCCTCCTCCTCCTCCTCTTTCCCCTCTTCTCCCTCCCCCCCTCCCCCCCCACTTTCCCCACATTCCCTCTTTCTTTCTTTCTTCCTCCTCCTCCTCAATCAATCAATCAATCAGTGGGTCAGTCAGTCAGTCACCCCCCAAATCATGGACTGAGGGGGGCAACACATCTATTGATTTGATTATGAACTGATTAATCAATGGTATTGTATTGTATATCTACAATACTTATTCAACCTCCTTTCCCTCCACCCCACACCCCCTTTTCTCTACCCCCCCCCCACCCCCCCCCTCCTTTGCCCCCCCCCCCCCCCACCCCCCTCCCCCTCCTCTTCTCTCCACACACAACACACGAAAAAAAACCAATTCACCCCAAAACAGCCATTGATCGATTGATCTATTAATCGATTAATTAATTAATTTATTAATTTATTTGTGTGTTTCCCTAATTTTCCTTCATTTCCCCTTTTTTCTCCTCTCCCCCCCCCCCCCCCCCCCCCTTCCCCCCCCTTTAATTGTCTGTGTGTGTGTGTGTGTGTTGTTTTTTTTCTTTTCATATATATATGTGTGTGTGTGTGTGTGTGAGGGGAGGAATTCCAACAAAACAAAATAAAATAAAATACACGAAGCAATAAAATAATAAAACAGGGACCACCCCCCCCCCCCCCCCCCCCCCCTCACCCTCACCCTCTCTCTCTCTCTCTCCCCCTCAAATCCCCCCCTCCTCCCCCCCCCAAAAAAAGGCTTCAATTGAGGGGGGAAAATAACTTAGGCCTCAAGAGAAGCCTCGGGCTCGAGTTGGATCTGGGCTGTTAATAAGGTGGGAGGAGAGAGGGAGGGAGTGAGGGACAGGGAGGGGGGGGTGGAAGCTTCCAGGAGCTTCTCTTACCCCCCCCCCCCCACCCCCACCCTCACACCCACCCCTTCACTAACCCCCCATTTCACCCCCTCCCCTCCCCCCCCCCCCCCCTCTCTCCCTCTCTATTTGTATTTGTTTTATTCATTTACTTTGCAAACAACACCACCAGTAATTGTGCTGATGAATTGGTTGGTAACCATCGGCGCCGTCTCACTCGCCCTCCGTGGGGGCCTTAACCGTACGGCGCGGTGTAGTGACTGTGTGTTTTGTGGGTGGAATTTGGGGCCGGGGGTGGGTGGGGGGTAAAGGGAGAGAGAGAGAGAGAGAGAGAGAATGAGAGAGAGAGAGTTTGGAGTTTTAAACTCTTTTCTCCCACACAACCCACAGTCACTACACCGTACGGTATACACTCCGCGAAGCGATGATGATGATGATAATCATAATGATAATAATCCTGGGGTTTGACCCCCTCTCCTCTCCCCCCCCCCCCCCCACCCCGGCGCCTTATCACGTCGTCGAGACGTCTCAAAGCGCTTCGTGGGACACACGCTGTGAAGTGTAGTGACTGTGTAAGGCGCTGTATCAAATGCAAGGGTTATTATGATGATGATGATTATTATTATTAAACAGAATGTGTCTCTCTCTTTCTTGCCCCCCCCCCCCCCCCCCACCACCCCCTCTCTCCCTCTCTCCTCTCCCCCTCCTCTCGACGGGGAGTGAGTCTCAGGGATTGGGCGCTGAGGGGGTGCAGGGAAGGCAAAGGCGCTGGAGAGACCTTTCACTCTATGGTCCCTGTGTCTCTTTCTCTCTGTCCCCGGCTCTCCCTCTGTCTCTCCCTCCGTCTCCATCTCTCTCTCTCTCTCTCTCTGTCACGCACACTGATTGGGGGGGGGATTGGGGGGGGGGGGGGGCTTTCCATCCCGGACAGACTGCAGTGCGGGGCTCTGATCAAATGTTTCTAAGTCTCTTTAAACACTGCAAAATGTCCCTTTTTTGTGTGCGTGCGCGCCCGCGCGTGTCTGTCCGGGCAGTGCCACGCTGAATCCTGGAACGACTCTTGTTCCAAATCACTCTTGCGCTCGCGCTTTAACTCAAGGACTCCCTACGATGTCGCCCTTAGGTCCTGTGATACGGTACAACCATTTACCGGGCATTGGGATTGCAGTTGAAACGGTATTTTTGCGCTAAAGCGAATTCTCCGCCAATATTTCCTCAGCTTCCAGGCCACTTTTTTTTCATATAGGTTCCTCTCCCACTCCCGCTTCCCCACTCCCAGCACAACCCCCACACCGCCCCACACCGGCTTTTATATATTGTTCCTTTAGAGTTTAGAAGGTGAAAATAAAGCTATTTATTTCAAGGTTTTGGGGTGGTGGGGGGGTTACAGATATATCGCTGATGTTTTACGTCGGGATGTCTAAACTTTATAAATGTTATTGTTTGTAAGCAGTTGCTTTTGCTAACTGCAGTTCTGCTGAGTGCAAGTTGTTTTATTGTGGAATTGTGATTATTTTGATAATGATATCGAAATAATGATCTTGATATTGTGGGACCGAAGCACCGTTATCTTAAGGTTTGGCGTGCTTTTAGGAACAACAACTTGCAATGAAATGTGCACATTGTAATTTCTTAGCCTGGTACAGTATAGTTTCCTATGTGTGTTCAGGATGCGAGTGTCTTTTCCGTGACTGGTATTGATTGAACGTAACTACTGTGCCCTCTTTACGACTGTATTCTTTAAAACTTTGAGCAAGATCTTATTGCATGCACTGCCACTGTACGGTTTGGGAGGATGTTCAATGTACAATTTGAGGAACAAATGAGAAACAAACTTGAGTTTATAGCTTCATAAAACAAATGTCTACTTTTTCTGTGTCCAGGGCAGACGCAAATATGCCAGAAATGTCTGTCCCTCGGGATAACTAAAGTATGCTTTGGGTCTGCATTATTGAAATTAAATTGTAAACAGAACTGTGGTCTCTGTGGTGGGGCGAGGGGAATGCTGGCTGGTCTGACTAAAAACACATGAAAGTCTCTATTTTCTGTAAATCCTTGGAATGGTGCCTAATGTGCAAATCAGACAGTTTATTAAACAGACTTAATGTTCATCTGTAAACCTGTTCAAACTCTTAATGTTGCGAAAGATACTCTTTCGGACAGAATTTAAAACAAACTTGACCTCATTCAGTCAGTTTTAACAGCTCAGGACCAACCAGTCATTCGAGCACAAACCAAATGATGAACGTTTGGAAGACGTATTGTGTTTGTAGTTTGCTGGGATAGCGATAAGAACTCGCCTCGAAAGCAAGAGGACCTGGGTTCGATTCCTGGGCAGGACGAAATGTTGGGCAAGTTTCCTTACTCCACGCACACACCTCTGTTTATCCAGCAGTAAGTAGGAACCCGGTTGTTAGTCGATTGGCAGATCGCTTTCCGGGGGTAAATAATCCCTTCAAAATAAATAAATAATAATAATTTGGTCACTTCATCCACGACTGTTTGTGGGACGCTGCTACGCGTAATTGGCTGCCGCTTTTCGCCCACAAAATAAACAGTCAATTCACATTACGGTGTATTCTGTGAAGCGCTTTGAGACGTCTCAAAGACGTGATAAGGCGCTGTATCAAGTGCAAGGATTATTATTATTATTACTTAAAAATATATTTCCTTTGTCCCCTCTCTCAGGCTGACTCTCACACCGCATCCTTCCACAGCCTAGTGTATCTAGCGAGCAAGACTGTAAATGACGTGATGAGCTAAGAAGGGTCTGATTCAGCTGGGTTAGTGGTGGGAAATGTTTTGATTCTCCCCTATGGAATTCGATGTCTTTCTATAATGTGGTTACCTTTCGAGCTGCCTTAAGAAAATGATCTTGAGTGAGCGTATACAGATGATAAAGGATTGGGTCTCAAAAACTCGATGTGTTTTGACGGTCAGAATAAATTATGAAGAGCTGTATCACTACTGATCAGAAGCTCCGTTATGTATTTTATCCCTAAACATCTACATTATTAATGCTTGCTGTGAGATGCTGCTATATATATATATACTTCTCTTACTAAATGTTTAGTTTCAGATTCCTGTTTTGATATTTTATCCTTGCAGAGTTTGACTTGTATTGTGAAGTGAGAGTTGAGTGACTATTGTGAAAAAACTAAATAATAATAATTCTGGCATTTGACACAGTGCCTTATCACATCTCGGAGACGTCTCAAAGCGTTTCACAGGATATACTGTAAAGTGAATTGGCTGTGTATTTTGTGGGTGAAACGTGGTAGCCAATTTCTAACTTTTATGTTATATGATATATATTTTATCTTCTCTTAAATTGCATTAGGATACAATTTCTAACAATTTCAATTGTAAAATGTATTTAGCGGTTATAAAATATTTACGTTCTTTGACAATGAAAATGGACTTCTTAGAAGCCATCTTCAAGTGGATCCTTTCAAGCAGTTGGTTGCTAATACTGTAGTGTACGTTGTGCGGTTGTTGAAAGTGTAGTTTGCCGGCATTGATAGCACGTAAAGTCTTGGGAAAAACAGTACAGTTTACTTTTGGCCCTTTCACTTTTGGCTCCGCAGTGAGAAATTGAGGCCCCAAATATAATCCCTGTGATTGACGCCCATGGAAATGTAGCTAACCTCAGCCAGGCTAATGATCATCCTTGCATTTGATACAGGGTCTTCTCACGTCGTTGAGAAGTCAGAATTGTACTATAAAGTAGTATTGACGGTGTGCAAAACGCAACAGCCAATTGCGCACAGCAGTGTCCCACAAAGAGTCATGGATTGAGCGACCAAATTATGGTGTTGGGATACTTCAATGGCCCCTGTTCTCCCAAGCTAGTGAAGGAGAAAATGAGCCAACTTCTTCTGCTTCTGATGTTTCTTCATTGATCTCTGCTGGAAACTGCTCAATTCTGATTTGCCCCCTAAGGTCTACTGTGCGGCTCACAGTGATGGATAGCCAGACAGTCACATATGGGTGAAGTGCTGAGGTTCAGGAGAGAAGTGAAACGAATAAGAAGAGAGGGATCTGCTTTTTGATTGGAAAGCAGATTGTGATTCATAGTGTGTTAATCAGCT